GAAAATATCATTCCACTGAATCGTCAAGATTCATCTCCACGTCAATTTATTGTCGAGTTTTCCAAATATTTATTCGCGTCACCAAGATTATAGTAGTCATCAAAAACAGTCCACTTGTTGAATAAAACCATTTAGTGTTACTAGCTGAAAGTGAATAGTCAGGTATGCTGGATAAACAAAATAGCACCAGGAATTCTACAGCTCGTCCTTTTAGTGGAGCATCTCGAACTGCATTAGCGTCATCTATCAAAACATCCACTTTAGCTACTCCACGAGCAAATCAACTACATATTTCAGCCAAGTCAGCAACAGCCACTAATGGGTCAAGTTCAAAACGAGCGCCTGTTTGCAAGTTGGCCACAGTAGGATTTGACGAAAAAACATGGTATGTATGACGTCCATGCAAAATATTGTTTAAACCCCAAGTTATAAAATGCAATGTATCGCTGCTGGTAATGCAGCATTGTATTGCTAATTGAAACTAGTTGTTAGTTTGTCTCAAACTACAGATGCATTGTCTGTATATCACCTGTCAATGTTCTTGTAGACCGACTGCTAACTGTTTTTTAAATGGTGCGACTTTACATTGATTTAGGGTTGACCGTGTTGCCAAGGAGCTCAAAGGCCAGCGAGAATGGAGTGAAAAATGGCAGACACTTAATGATCCTAAATTATACTTGGGAGAGCAGGCACCAGCAGTGTATCCCCAAAAGTCCAAGGCATGTTTTTATTTACCCATTTATATTTTATTCTATTTCAGGCATTAATCAGAATGGATGGTTACATTTGATTATCGCCACAATCTATCTCGATAAATCTCCACCAACAGCCAACCAAGTGGAGCGCATACAGTGTGATTGTTTCTCCTGGTCAGTATCCCATAGACCCATCACTTGACGATAATTATGCTCCGTGCTTTAAAGTCACTGGTGATAGAAGTTCGTATCTGTCAGGCCAAATAAAAAAACCTGTACATTCAAATCCTTCACACTGGCAACAAAAGCAAATACATACATTTCAAAACGCACCATTTGCAACCGACACACCTGTAGACCCGCATGCTGTTTCATTGCTTTCCAAACACAATCGTGCTTCATTAAAAATGTTTAATGGAAATTTGGTAGGTGCTCGAGCAAATACACGATCTCAGTTTGCACAAGATCCACAACGTGTGTATCGATATCCACCTACTTCTTCAATGGAGTATGGCTGGTTTCCATATAAAAAAGATATATTTATGAGTTGATTGATAGAGAATATGCTTGAAATTTAAAATAAAGTTGTTTTTTATTGTGGAGTTTTGTGGCAAGTTTAAAAAGTATATTGAATAGTGTATAAAATAGTATACTAGCCAGTATTTGGACTAGCAGTCCAGTTTTCCAGTAAACACTACAAGTTGGCTTGAAATGCAATGGCAGCTAAAAGCCTAGACTGTTTAAACGACACCGGCCATAACTGCTTCAATGTCGACAATCTCTTTTGGAGCTTCAACAGACAGAATAATAGGCGAATTACCAGTCGAGGGGCCGCCTACTACCACATCATCTTCAATACGAATACCAATTCCACGATAGCTTTCTGGGTAAGATGCACTGTCTGGAATATATAGTCCTGGCTCTAAAATAGTTGACGAGATTAGAAATGATTAGATCTGATATAGATGAACACATTAATTGGCTTAATAAAGCTGTCTTTTTACAACACCGAATTACAAACTGATTTCACTCACCAATAGTAACAACCATTCCTTCTGTTAGTTTTGTAGTTCGTCGGATTGTTGGAGTATCATGTACATCCATGCCAAGCCAATGACCGACATGATGTGGGTAAAGTCGATTCATTTCTGCAAATCCGATATTTCGACCAAACAGTTTCGACAGTTTCTCGCAAAACAAGACAATTGTCTCGCGTTGAAGTTCATCCAGCGTGATGTTCGATGCTTCGCAACATTTCTATGATTCATACAATATATTAGAATATATTTAAAATCACTCCGTATAGCACTTATGCGACGCTCAGTATAAATACAAACTCATTACACTTGTAAATTCAATTCAAAATGAATAAAATAACCTACAGAAATTAAATGCTTTTGAGTCTGTAAAACGATATCATAAATGTTTCGCTGGCTTTCTGAAAATTTTCCATTCACTGGCCATGTTCGTGTAATATCACTGACGTAGCCTCCGTACTCCTAATAGTGTAGGGCATGAGTTAAAATGAGTAGCAGTCAACATAGCTTAAATGATAGTAAACTTGGTATTGGTGTACTTACTGCACCTGCATCAACAAGAAGCAAATCTCCGTCCCTATGCAAGTATATTTGAATTAGATGGTCATATACCAGCAGTAATAGATTCAACACGGCGCAAGTACTCACTTTAACAATTGCTGATTCTGAACATAATGCAAAGTAAGTGCATTTTGACCACCGGCAACAACTGGCACATATGCAAGTCCAGATGCACCTTGAATGCGGGATTGAAACTCCAATACAGCCATGATTTGATGCTCAGTCACACCAGGGTTTGTAAACTTCATGGCCTTTACAAACGATCGACCAGAAATCCGACCAGCCTCACGCATCAGTGCAATCTCTGCAGAACTTTTTTTCAATCTCATTCTATCAATCATATTTGTCAATGGCTTGATTTGAGTTTCGTAGCGTGTTTTTCCTCCATTCATCCACCCAGACAATACATTCAGTGCTGATGGCATCAGATTTTCAATTGTAGTTGATGTATTCTTGTTGGAATGGAGCAGTGGAAGCTGTCCCATTGAGTTATGCACCAATGCAGGTGAAAAATTATCATCCGTATTGACATGTGTGGCCGATGCTGACAAAGTTTTGATATGTGTGCCTTCTATCAACGAGACGGGCTTACTCACAGTTAGAGGCAAATCGCTATAAATGGTAGAAATGCACTTGCTCTGATCCAAGGCTATTAGATATGATTCAAAAGTGTCAACTTTTTTGGCATCATCTGCTCCAAAATGAGTGGTTGATCCCTGGATTCCTGCACGAGGTCCATCCCATATCTCTGTATCGCGATCTGCAGGCTGAACAAACATGGTAAAGGTGTGGTTTTTTGATGTATTCACAATAGCTGATGTTGTGGATTTGGATTCAATACTCGTCTGTTTAATTGACCGAGACTCTAATTTAACAAAGACAACATCAAGATGAATTACAATGATTATATTAGAGATGATCAAAACTATAATCAGTTACCAATAACACATCCAGCATCAGGTTCGTTGAATCCAGTTAAATAAAGAAAGTTTGTAGATTGATGGAATGGGTAACTATAATTGTCACATATTTAGTAAGCTCAAGATCATCTTATAAGCAGCTCTAATCAAACCATTTAATCACAATAGTCGACTTACAAAATCCCATTTGATACATATCGAAGACCGTATCCAGGCACCACTGCAGCACTGTCATCTCCAATAGTATTTGCCAAGGTGGTTCGTCTGTCTTTATATTCCTGTGCAGTAATACCAATGGTCACTTTGACGATTGCATTCATGAAAAGTGTTAGTTGAGCCGAGATGAGAGCACATCCAGATAGAATTCGACCTGCAGACACTACGCAATGCCTGAAAAAATACAACACAGGCGTACTATCATTGATTCAAGTGTTTACTTGCATACATACGTTCGTCAGATTTTAGCAAGTGAGGATGGGTTAGTGGTTTTGGCTGACCAAATGCCTTTTTTTCGATTGGAATGTCTGCACCTTCACCACTGTGAGTGAAGTGATTGCGCACTGGAAAAGTTAATACTGAAGAGTATCTAGATATACCATTAGCAGTATTAAGCGACTGTTGAATCTGAGAATATACTGCAGCTAATCTCGATATTTTGAACATGAGTTTTTTGAATTAAAGCTGCACTCGCGTAAAATGGATTCCTTTTCCGACAGAATCTTGCTTTGGAATACATATTCGTTGCAGTTTCTCATTATAAATTGATTATTCGATTGCATGTTGTCATGATGTTCAAGTAATTGTCAGTCGAGTTTAGAATAAACAACACGAAACTCTGATTCAATATTGTTTGACAAACTATATTGAATCCATTAAAGAGTTTATAAAACACAATATCAATCAGTGAGTTGGTTTATATTGCAAGATTGGTTGTTTACATTGTTATTTAACATTCAATCTGCATAAAAACACAGTCGAGATTGTCAAGTTTGTATCACATGACTATATTTCACTTTTTAATGCTATGGCCAAGCTGCTGTCCATTTTTCCTCGAGAATTTACTACAGCAAAACAATGATCTGCAGGCATTCACGGTCATTCACGCAACATGTATATGCAATGAGACAAATGGATGCAGCATTAAAGACTGGGTTCTTATCAGTCAGGAGTTTAGGCACGACAAATCCAACTATGCGGCCATTATCCAAATCCACTGCATTGCTTCAATCGCAGTTGTGTGTCGTTGGAAATGAATCGAGAAACGCTTTGTTTACCACTGCATCTGCCATGGGGATGGGAAGAGGCAATACTCGGACAATAGGATCAGCACAACCAATGGAAACTATAGAACAAATTGCAAATGGAGAATCGTTAAAAACAAACATATTGTCAGCACCCACTGAGCTCACTTTGGTAGGTTGATTTTTAAACCATCTGGCATTCGACTGTTTTATGTCTCTAATACTTTGCGTCTTGTTAGATCTCTGAGTTATCCTCACATTGGAATCACATTTTACAGAGTCAAGCACTTGTTCTCGAAGGAATTCTTGGCCATCTGGTGGTCATTGATACTGAATAAATATATTTTTAGCCGACTTTACTGGGCAATTGATGCTGTTTAATCGCAAGGCCAGATTGGGTTTGACTTGGCCTGGATTATTCAAAATGTTGGCTCAAATCGTCTATCAATAAGCTATGCTTGAGAGCTGGCGAAATACCTAATGGGTTTGGATAATCAACTATCGGTGTGTAGATACCAGTGTTGCATAAGCCAGAGTAACTGCTGGGTGTATTTTGAGTTGGTTTGAAAATTGGCTAGCAAATGGAAATTTCAAAATATACTTGTTTATTATAATCCAGAGATAATAGCATTGGAATATCAAATTCCAAACATGCTTCATTGATTGGACTTGAAAACAGTCTTTTGCATGATGCATCCATAATTGGCGTGGATATCCGACCCCATATTTTCAAATCGTGCTATTTCTTACTCATGCCTATATATTTAATCAAGGTTTGCCATTATAACTCGTTTTGTAATTATACTCGATTGGTACTACTGGCCAATTCACGTATTAGCCAGTATAGCACATCGTTATATAATACTTTCAGCATTACAACTACAGGCAAACACCAATAAACTACAAATCAAGGTGAGCTCCATAGATTCAAAATATTATTTCAACCGTGTACAACACAGCTCTATACTTGTCCTGGCATCTTTTGTCAGCGTATCTGATTACAGGTCTTGGCACGCTATAAACAATAGTTTAGATACATTTCGATCGACTTTTCTGGTTTCATTTTAAAATACGTACTTTATCTCCAATATCTTTTATGCAATACTAAATATACTGAAATCATTATTTTCTTGATACTTTGTATATTTCACCAACAGATTCCATAGTACAACCTCTTTCATACCCATAATGGCATCTGTCACAGTACCAATCACGACACCAATCGAAGAAACTCATCTTGGCGGTCTCACTCATGTTCGAAATTACAGCATTACCCATGCTCCTCCTTCTACACCGCTTCGATTAGAGCTGTCAGGAAAAGTTCCTTATACTCTGCGATCTCGCCCCCCAACAGCTACTAAACATTCTCGCCGCTCTACAGAAAACCTTGAGGAAGTGGACGAAGGTTATGGCTCAATGCCACTCATCAATGAGGCTCGAAAGGTGCTTTTGGAATTTGAAGAGCAAAATTCAGATGGATCTAGTTCAGAAGTCCCATTGCTTGAATCTGGAAAATCAGTCGCTATTTCAACCACCACAAACCAGCATGATGAAGTGACTACTTTAGAGGCTACTGAGGTCAAGCCAAAGCCTTTTCGGGTTGTGGTGATACGCCCAAGACAAGTATCAGCGTTTTCGGCCAAGTCAGAAAAACACGACGCGAAACTCGCTTCTGATGGCCAATCACCGACTACCACTATAGAAAAATCAAAAAAGGTGCAGTCAGTAACCCCACCTGATACTCATATGATCATGTTAAAGGAAGAAGAATCGCAACCATCAGTCCTTTATGAGCAAGTTGATCGGGTAGCAAGTATTGATTTCGACAATAAGCTTGTGCTAGATGATGATGTCTCGAATGCCCAACAACCATCTACACCATCCGACTTGCTAACAAAGAAATCGCTTGAAAAACATGGCAGTTTTTTCGAAGCTGCACCATTAAGAAAATGGGCACCCGTATCTGATTTATACGATGCTGTGGATCTTGGCTCTGCTTTTTCTGAAAATTCACTCGAGGATATTGGCCATGAATGCGATCGATTTGCAGATATTGACGCGGAAATTAGTCCTAGTTCCAACCAACTAGGTAGTCAATATAGTTTGGAACATGAAATCGATCTTTCCTCTTGGCAGTCCAAAAACAAGCTTTTGGACAAGTATCTTAAAAACAATGACAGTATGCCATCACCTATTGAAGAATCAACCAGCAAAGCCGATATATTAAATTCAAACAATCTTCAGCCTGAAAATCATGCCAACCACAAACGTGATGACCCGATCTTGCTAGTGTTTGATGAGCCAGTCATCGATGCCCTTCATCCTGAAAGCAATCTATTACAATCTCAGTCTATTGCTGTTGAAATATCCAGTACTCGACAAGACTCTAATAAGCAAGCAGATGCGTTATTTTCTGCTGACGATACAGCCAGTAGTATCAAAAAATTGCCAACCAGTGATGCTGAAGGTCATCCTTCATTCATCAACGTCCATATTCATAAAAAACCCGATAATTTGCATCCACTACCCTCTCGCGCAATGTCTGGTTCCAACTTTGAATCTACTCTAGCTGTTCGTTCATCGTCGTTTCATGTGGGAACTATAATGCCTCAGCAACGTAGCATGTACCAAATGAAAAAGCTAAAACAATCACTTCCAACTTTGGATGATGAAGAAGAGCCAGATGTTAAACCCAGCAATTTATCAAAGTCCAACACAGCCCATATTATAGAATCAAAATCAATGACTGAATCTATTTCCAGTCATGAGTCAGTTTCTGATGATCTGTCATCCGTCGAGGATTTAAAAAAGGAGGAATCATTCAACAGCACCAGTTCAGCCATTGAATCCATTGTCAAGTCAGATTCTATGTGCGCTAATAGTTCCAAAATCATCCCAAAGGACGGTATTCGACTTAAGAAACCTGGACTACATATGCCAGACATTATCAAAAAAATGATTCCAGCAAAAATATTCAAGGCTGACAAGGAGCCAGGTATTAATAGTCGCAGTAATTCCACTAGTAGCATTTCTAGCGGAAAGTTTGCATTTTTTAAAGGTCTTTCAGGATTTAATATCAGAAGTCGCGATAACAGTACGGAGGATATCCGACAATTGAATTTGATTACGGGTAAAATCCAATTGCCAGTCAATACTGAAAAGATTAAAATGCAGCAGAAACTGCATGAGAATCTTGTCAAAGAATTCATGTCTGAACCACACGAAGCTCCACTAATTCGGCTAGAAAAGTATAGTCAGCAAAAAGCCACGTTTCCTATTCATCGCGGTGCCGTGAATCCTACAAAAAGTATAGCAAGTAGTAAGGGATCATCGTGCAAATCCAAGATACACAGTCTTCAATCAAGTGATACCAGTAAATCATCCATCCAGAAAAGTGGTTCAATGACATCGACCTCTTCTCAAAGTAGCACGAGCACCAGCGAACGTGAGTCTATGCAAAAACAAAATATTGCCATTGCAACAAAAAATAATGTCAAGGGAGCACACACTGGCTCAATGAACACACATATTATTGATAATACTCCACCCAGTATTAAGGCTGTGGAGGATCTTGCAATTCTTGAAGAGTTTTCGACAAAAGAAAAATACCGATTCGAGTCTAGCTATAAACTAATTAAGCAAATTGGTAGCGGTGGACATTCTACAGTGTGGTTATCGACACGCAACAGCGATGGACGTATGGTGGTTTGCAAATTCATTAATGCCTCCAGTGTATGGAATTGGCATGTGGAAGAAAGCGGATTTCCCACAAACAGGCGAGCCAGTTTGGTAGATACTGTTTCAAATTCGCTCAAGCCAAAATTGGCCAGTATCAGTCTTATATCAAATAATAGCAGAAAGATCTTTGGCAATGGTAACAAGACCAGCCATTCTACAAGCGGCTCTGAAACCTGTTTGGATCAGACACCTGATGTGACGGCATTTGCCAGCTCGATGCCATCTTTGGAAATTACTGATCATACCACGTTTACACCCAAAGATATTGCAATGTCAAAGCTGACTGCGCTGATCAAAAAGACATCAAAAACAAGTCAGCCTATCAAGGTTGTGCCTGTTCGCAAAATTCCGCTTGAGATTCACAAGATGCGACATTTTGCTGGACAAAACCAACCCCGCCTTGTCAAGTACTATGACCATTTTGAAATGTATCCGCGATATGTAATCGTCATGGAGTACCTTGGTCAAGAGTGGGTAGATCTTTACGACTATATTGAAATGTACGGACCTGTCAAGGAATCACATGCATGCATGATTTTCAAACAAATTGTTGAAACAGTTGCATGCATGCATCGCATGGGATTCTGTCACAATGATATCAAGGGTACGTTTTTCACTGATTTTTTTTCCCAAGTACAATAGATTTGAAAGCTTATTTGAACCATCTCAACAAACCCACTAAAATAGATGAAAACATTATGATTCACACAAAAACCCGCGAAATCAAGTTGATTGATTTTGGATCCACCACATACCTTAAGCCAGAAGTTCCCACAAAAATATTTTATGGGACTAAAAAGTTTGCAGCGCCTGAAGCGCTTGACGGCGGTGATTATTATCCAGCTTGCCAAGAAACCTGGGCACTCGGAACTCTGCTATACGTGTTGCTTTTTCAAATGGATCCATTCAAGGATGATGATGAGGTAATGGAACTAAATATCACACACCGTATTGAGCGTCTGCGCGCACCAGTCGAACCCGGTTCATCACGAGCCAAACAGGGACATGTTCCAATTGTTGTTTCTGACGAAGCAGTCGATTTACTATCTGCACTCATGCAAAAAGACTATAGAAATCGACCCAAAATCAGTGAAATCATTGATTTTGATTTTTTCCATCAAGAATAGTCCAACTCTTGGTCACCATCAAACTTTACCTCTAGTTCAGTCGTCTACAATCCATTCCTTCTTTTCATGTATTCCATGCTTTACTGTTTTAGTTGTTTCCACCCAGATGTTTTGGATTTCTTTTTTAAAAAATGTTTTCAAATAAACGCCTGAATTACATTATTGAAACTTTAAATCAATCAAGTCAAAAGTGTATTCAACTAAAACAAATCTAGATTACATGCAGTTTCATTTTTGGTAAACAGATGCGGACTCGATTGTTTTAAATGAGCATCAATTTTGGAATTTACTGGATTCAAACTAGATCAAGTTGTGTTCGTGGTAAAGACGAATAGATTTGAGATTTAAACTTTGCAATTAAAAATCATTCATTTATACATCAAAATTTACGCTAGCCTTTTTCATCGAAGCAATCAGTGGTTCAAAATACGTTTCTGCAAATGAGCTCATCCAATACTCATGAATACCATTATGCTCACTATAATATCAATCAAATATTCCAAAAAAACCATTAGTAAATCTTTGAATATCGTCATGGATGCAATACATATACCACCCCACTCACCCGACAAAATTATGTGCCAGTTCGTGACAGAATTTCATAAACCAATACGACAGCACGCTACAAGACTCATTACCAACGCTTTCAACATAACTATTGCTGTTTGAACTGGGAAAATCACCAGGAGTTTGTGGAGCAGTGTTTTGAATAGACTGGAAATGCAACCCAACATAAAATCTCAAATTGAAAAACAGTGCTCTGTTTCTATTGAATGCGATCGTGGCTCCATCCTTGTCCCAATACATGTGAACTACACCTGGCTGAAGTTTGAATACACCAGATAAAAAATCAAGAACAATAGAGAATCGATGTATAGCTTCTTTATGTTCAGATAACGGTTGCTGTGACATGGCGGTCATATTGCTTGCAAGCTGTTTGTCAATATATACAGGAATATGTGCTACACGAGTATGCATAACAAGTACCAAATCATGCTCAGTCAAAATATTACATTGTGACTGTACTTTGGAAATAGTAGATTGCGATGTAGGATCATTGGGAACAGTAGAGCGAAATGCTGCGTTGCGTTCTGGTCTAGCTGTTGCAATGGATTGTTTTAGCTGTGATTTGAGTCGATGTGTTTCTTGCGGAGTAATGTCTGTTGTGGGAGCGTGTTTAACTAATGCCTGCTGATCATTCAGACTTGATCTACTCTGTTGAGTCATGGATGTCAATTTTTCAATATTTTTTGTTAAATCGATCCCAGTGAATTTGTTGAACATGCCAATCAGGGATGAGTTGTCAGCGTTTTGTCGAGATGGTCCCATCTCCTGTTTTGGAACTAGAGAATTGTTACCCACGTCCCCATTTTGACCAAGATTGTTGGGAGTATACGGTGGAGGAACTTTTGGATATCCAATATCCATCATCTCGCCAACAATTTGCTGTAGATTGTCAACGCCAAGTACTCGCAAGCGATTGTATAGAAATTTGGGATCAGCGTCAGGGAATATGGATAGCAATTCCTGCACCTTGTTTTTCAATATAGACTCGTCTGTTTCGTCCAGGCGTTTTGGCGAGCTGTCTATTTTTTTGCTGTCGTAAAGTGATGTACGTGATCCAGATTCGCTCGAGTTATTATTCTGGGACATTGTATCACGAGACAAATGCTTGCTTGTTTCAACTACTGCCTTGGAAGGGATTTTAAGTTTACTAGCTCTTAGATTTAAAATTCGATCCACGGGAAATCCCTTTCTGTTCAGGTTTTCAATTGAAGATGACAACAGTGTGGAAAGCATTAAATTGTCATTTAATCGCGGCATGCGTAAAACCAATCTTCCAATCATTGTTGCAACATCAAAGTGGTCGAATGAGTTGACTATGACAAGGATTGGAGTAGAGTTTCCAAGTCCAGTCGACTTGACAACAACACATGCAGTTGTGCTCTGTGTACGTGATACGCCTTGAAATGTTCGCACAATATTGATGGAGTTGGTTTCAAGAACTTGTAGATTGGATAGCACTTTTTCAGCTTTGGGAATCAAATCCTTGGATCGGCGTGATTGATGACCATCATAAAGTAGTAAAACTGCACGTTCATTGATTAGAGCTTGCAGTTTTTGTGAAGTAGGTGATTCAATTAGAGCGCTGTTTGGCAAATACTTCAGCTGTACTTTTTGAGAAATCCAGCACGATCCGAGATCTTGATACATGCGCTCTAAAATATCTTCCATAGGCGCGCACACTGGCTTGAAAATTTGTGAGCAAACTGCATCGTCCATGAGGTAGATTTCTGATGCTTTGGCAAGTTTGAATCGCATAGGAACATCCACATCATTTTTTGTAGAGTCGATTATTTCATCAGTCTTATCGTCCACACTATCAGTGTCATTGCCATGCTTTACACCCAACAAAAATGCACTAGAGCGCATCAGTTTCATAAGCTGACTATCCGTTCTCAATGTATCATAATTGGCAGCAACCTGTCTTAATAAAGACAGGTACACTTCAATACCAGACGAATCTAAAAACTCATGCGGGGATTTGGCCAAGGTATAAGCTAGTTCAATCGGAGATGGTTCGTTTTTTACCCCACAGGTACGTAAAAATGCATTTGCAGCTATCCCGAAATCAATATAAGTAAAGGGTACTAGCTGTTTTGCTTCGTCCTGCGCACTTTTAAAATACACATCTGTTGGCGATGTGTATGTGATGGGAGCAGGTGTATTAGAATGCACTAAAGGTATATGCTTTGAAACGGTAGGAATAAACGGGAGAGATTTGAGCAAATTCCAATGGGCATTGGTGAAGTGCACTTGTTGGGTTCCCAAAAAAGTAAACATCTCTGCTGCTGTGTCCAATGTCGGTGGAGACTTTTTTAGCTGATCGATTATAGTCTGTGCAGTAGGAGATTGGCGTACACCGAGTTTCTCTGAATGTGGTTTTAAATCCAATGCCAGAACCTTGAACCCCATAATGGCCACATCAGGATTGGAAAAGCACGTGGATGGGGTGGCCAAAGTGGTGCTGCCAACAATTGGTAAAAAAGGCTTACTAACAGTAGTTGGTTCGTATACTTTTTTGTACACGGTTTCGTAATTGTCAATAAAGTATTGAATCCATAACTGGCGTAATGTAAAAACAGTAGCAGTGGAAGCTTGAAAAATGAGATTGTCAATAGAAACATATTCTTTGAGTCCCAGATCTTTGAGAAACTTGGCTTCAAGAGACTCGGATCTCCATTCTACAGTCCACTGGAGAAGAGGCATACCCAATGTACGAAGCGTATCACTTGGAACAAACAAATCGCATGCACGATAGCGTCGCAAAGGTGCAGTGCTTTCACTGCCATTGGTAGAACCACTATTTTTGGCTTCACCCAGAAAAAGCGCTGTAGCAGATAGTCGACTTTTTTCAAGCGAGGATAGTTTTGTTTGCACTGATGCCAGGTATTTGATCAGCTGCACCTGATCCCAATTGAGATCTGTTAGACGATCAAACACCACCTGCAATTCTACGTGCTCACGTACGCCCAATGTCTTGAGCATAGCATCAGATACTAATCGAGGATGAGTAAAAGTAGCAATTGGAAGTTCTTTGAAAAGCGTCACGCTGGAGAAATAGACCTGTTCCGGAACAAGTATCTTGCCCAGCTGCGTTGGGATACACGGTTTGGTTGCCAAGATGGATATCAGTTGAGCACGAGCAGTTTCTGAAATCGTTGAATAATGCTTGCTGCTGACAGCCATGCATTTTTCCGTAAACATTACATCCGTTCCAAACTCTGCACGTGCAGTCACATACCGTAGCCAGTCGACGATTGTGAATTCTTTAATATCAGGGAAAACAAACCCAATGGCTTCGGCAGATAAATGTTTACTCACAGTGTGAGGCATTACCGTATCAGGAAATGGTAAATCAATTGCTCCAAAGTTGGGACGCACAAAATGAGTCAAGTTTGCAAAAGCGATTTTGGGCGAGTCAGGAGTGTCTTGCATGGTTAGAATCTGTTTGAGTGTGATGCAATCTGCTCGTGAAATCACAACATTTGAACTATTCATAAAGCTTTGACCAGATTGCAACTGTTTAAACCACCATTTGATAAGCGCGACAACTTCAGTTATTGTGAATGTTCGTTGGCGAAGCTCAATAAATACATCGGCAAGTCCAAGTGAGAAAAGACATCCACCTGCTTGAAGTTGCTTCACTAGATCACGACAAGATTCAAGCACATGATCTGGAAGCAGTGGTGTGAGTTTGATAAAAGGTAGCATCTCGGGAACAGATAGTCGGACATCGCTTGCCAGCCGAATACCCATGGACGACACAATCAACAGAGATTGTTTAGACATGGAATAGAATGCTTGGCGCATAATGGAACTGACATGCAAAGAGGGGGTTGATGCTTTAAATGTAAACGCACTCATGGTGTGTACTGCCTTTTTTTGCAGCCATTTTTGACTTTCAGAATCTAGACTGAGCTGGGTATACAAAGTTTCGATTTCACCAAGATCCATGTTATACATGATCCGAGCAAGTAGACCGCCCATGAAAAGCAGCTCCTGATTCCAGTACTTTAAGGAGCGATCGACAAAATCAATACTTTCACGCTCTACAGTTGGAATCAAATGCCCAGCAATCTACAGATACCATATACAATCAAAGTTTAGATTTTGAAATAAACAGAGTAGTGCATAACTAGCTAGATTCACCTGTATGGCACAGCCAGTAGTTTGATGAGTTGGAAATCCAATAAAAATTCGACCTTGATCAGACGGATCAGGCATAAGATCGTTGAACATCTGCACACCTTTTCGTACACCAGAAGAGCTGTCGTATTCATCATAGTTTGAAAACATAAGTCGCAGTTGGGTAGTGGAAGGAGGATTTTTTTTAGTTGTTCGTTTCATTTCATCTGCTAGTTTGCGAGGAAGGGTTGAAGTAATATCTGCAGTGGCGATATGCATAAATATGGTGTAGCTCTCCTCCGATTGCTTGTTTTTTACTTGTACATCTAGCTGGGCCTTTGAAACAGAAACCGTGGATAGTTGAAATAGATTATTGGGTGATTTGAGTATGACAGATTTGCAATTGGGAATATCAACTGAACGTGGAATAGAGCATTTTTTGTTAAAGTTTAATATACGTTCAGAATCAATAAACACTTCGATTGATTCCAGACATGATGTAAAAGCAAGCGACGTGGTGAGAAAGCGACCAAAATCAGCAGCCTTTGGCGGATCAATTGGTTCACGCATAGACAGATAAAACACAGTCCATTCTGACTGTGCTTCCTTGGGCAGTGTTCCATGTTTTGTAAACAGCATGTCATCGTTCCATAAAAATGCCATACTTTGAGATCCTGAAGTTACGAATGGTTCTTCACAGATACTAAACAAGGAGTAAAATCCAACACCAAAAAAGCCAATCTTTTGTTCATCGGGATTCCCCTCTGCGATTTTACGCAGTCTAGCAAAATCCTCGTCGGAAAAAGCAGCTCCATTATTCTTGTAAATGACTGTTGTGACATTTGAAGTTTTACTCCATGGAAATGAAAACATGGATGTCTTTGGCGCAGTGTCTTTATCTGTTAAAAAGATGATTTGAGCAGACTTGGCACCTAGAGTAAAACAAGTGTTGGTTACAATGAGTCTAGCAGCAATACTGTCCACACTCCAACCAACTCACCGGCATCGTTGGAGTTTTGCAAAAGCTAGCCGTACAGTTCAAGTATGATTAGGATGCGAATCAACTGTATCGATTGCAGTCATAATAAAGGTACAATAAATACTTTGAAATACCTCTCTAAACACAGTAAACTCTGCAGAATATCTAATACATGATTGACCCAATCAGTCAGTCTGAATCAATAAACTCTAGGCAAACCAAGCCATTTATATCATGTAATACCTTGCCAAGATTTTGTCGATTAAATGCCGTTGATTGACTTGAACATTCTGAACAATAATACATGGATTAGTATTGAATTCAATGCCATCAATGTGTATATTATAAACTGCAATAAATGAAAGTTGAGCAATGCATGCATTGACAGCTTTAACGGAATTCACTTTCAATTAGAAATGTCAGACATGCAAGCATTGACAATAAAGGACATATTTGAAACTAGCAGGAAATGTAGTCTAACCTTTATTTTAGTAGTAGTGTCTTGCAGTAATGATTGTTTAAGAAATGCCAAATCAACTGCCATTGTTTCAGTAAGTTGCTCACACTTGGAGTACGTTGATTTTCCACATGAGCATCTTTGGCCATCACCACGTGTATTCAAATCGAGTCATGGTTGAGCACCTTCAAAGTTATGATTTTGGTTAGTTTTGTTGGTAATTGAATTGCATTTGTGCAATCAAGACGACAATCTCGACTGTATTTATGCAGATTGAATGTTAAATAATAATGTAAACAACCAATCTTGCAATATAAACCAACTCACTGACTGATATTGTGTTTTATAAACTCTTTAATGGATTCAATATAGTTTGTCAAACAATATTGAATCAGAGTTTCGTGTTGTTTATTCTAAACTCGACTGACAATTACTTGAACATCATGACAACATGCAATCGAATAATCAATTTATAATGAGAAAGTGCGACGAATATTCAACTCTTGTCTTTGAAAACAGCAGCCAATCCAAGATACAAGTGTTCATTGTGAATGCGGCATGTTCAATTATGCTGAGTTCATAAATGCGGCTATATTCGATTATGTCGAGTCCATGAATGCGCAGTTATAAGGGTTAGGGTTAGGGTTAGTATAGCTGCGGATTAACTACAGCCATATTTACGTAAAATAGGACACTAGATGTTAAATGCATGATAAACGGTCAGTTCCATGTTTAATTGATGCTGATTACTGAGCACTATTTTTTCGTTTGAAATAGCTGTTTAGAAGCATTTTTTGGTAGTTTTACCATTCAAAACATGTTTTTTTATGTATCGATTCTATTTTTATATCAAAGCTTTTTAATATTGTCATGAAATAAACCAGCACATCAAATCATTGACGGTCAGAGCTTTTGGAATGATGTTTGCAAAAATTGCTCGGATTTGAAGGTTGAAAGAAACACACTTGTGGAATGATAAATCTAGACAAAAGGTCGGTATGACAGATTGACAGCAAGGAATGTGTCTGGCTTTATTGAGAGTATCCAAAAAAATCAGTACTTGGGTTACAATGGACGAGTCAGGGCTCAAGCTTGGTGATCTCAAAATGTATGTATGCAAATAGATCCAAAATGCAGTCACCGCAACATACACGAAGTGGTCCATTTTACGTGAACACGACTGTGGAAAAATACGACTCTTCAACCGTTGATACTTGAAAGATCAAATTTTACATCGATGCGGCTATAATAACCCTGTTATAGGACTTGATCTTTGCAGCTACTGCTTCTATTTTGCTTTTCTATACAAATGATCAATCATTTGCTGCGGACTTTTAAAAATTGACTGTCCCGATAGACATTGTCAATAAACAATCATATGATGCTCACAAACTGTACTTCGAATTCAGAATATTTCTACACTTTTAGCATAGCCATGTGTTGTATAATCACCAAGCTTGTAAGGGTTTGATTGGAAACATACGAATCAAATATCTGGCTTTGACCAATATTTGCCGTGTCCAAAGATTTCGGGAATGTGATTGTGTTTCCATGACAATTACCCAGTGTTTGGTTTGTAGTCAAGAGAGTCGAACATTGAACAAATCTGAAATGTACTGGAACTGTAGCATGAATGTTCAGCTTTCTTTACAAAAATAAGTACGGAAAAAGATCTCAAAATCCTGCTGGGGGTTTATATGGTGCATTGCTGTTTAGTTGACCTATTACCAGCTATTTCCATAAAACTGTTTTTATGTATTTTGACGCCCTTATTTAGTGCTCCATTTTACGTAGTTGGGTTTGTAATAAGGGCGTTGAAATACATAAATGCCAGATTGGCTTTAAAACTAGCCCTTTGCTTTGTAAGGGTCGGTTTAATCATTTGTGCTGCACTCACCACAAGATGTGGAAAGTTGTACTGAGAGAGGGTTAGGGACAGTAACACCTGAACTGCGCAGTTAGGGCGATTCAAAGCAGCTCATATAGTCCTTTAGTGCACTTTATAATAGGGCCATAAACGACTGATATCTTTTTACGAAACAGCTTCCCTGAACTATTGTATTTGCATCTCCCTTATTTCAAACATACTTTGAAAGTATATAAGTCGCAATACTGTGCATAACTATCCTTTTTCAAACAAAATCGCTGGCTGTTTTTGATACACTGACCGAGTTTGTGACACGCCGAGCAGTTTAGTCGACAACCAAAATAATTAGAATATCACCAAGTCGGCACAATGAAGTTCACTCATCTAGGATTTGTTTTTCTTCTTGCAACATCTACTCATGCAGCCGTTATTGGCAAATTAAATGACATTCAAGGTGATTCAGTGATGCTAGCCAAGCGAGGACTTGGCGATAAAAAATCGACTACCACCAAAGATGCTGCAAAAGAAACTTCATTGTCTTCCAGGCCACCCAGAACTGGCATAGGTTATGGTATATACGAGTATCTACTAAAAGGAATGCCGTCTCCCGACAATTCGGTGCATAAAGACAAGGCTCAAGAAACTTTCACATCCTCTACAACTTCTACATCGTCCACAACTTCCACATCGTCCACAACTTCTACACCCTCTGCAACTTTATCAGCCAATACAAAACCTGATGAAAAGCCCGCTGCGTCTCCGAAAATTCCACCTTCTAGCATTTACGAAGGATTGGTTAAAAAGAAGGATTCCAAGAGTGGCAGCGAGTCGGATTCTGATAAAAAGTCTGTTGAATCTCCGAAAACTCCACCTTCTAGCATTTTCGAAGATTTGTCTAAAAAGCAAAATTCCAAGAGTGGCAGCGAGTCGGATTCTGATAAAAAGTCCGTTGCGTCTCCGAAAGCTCGACCTTCTAGCATTTTCGAAGATTTGTTTAAAAAGAAGGATTCCAAGAGTGGCAGCGAGTCGGATTCTGATAAAAAGTCTGTTGAATCTCCGAAAACTCCACCTTCTAGCATTTTCGAAGATTTGTCTAAAAAGCAAAATTCCAAGAGTGGCAGCGAGTCGGATTCTGATAAAAAGTCCGTTGCGTCTCCGAAAGCTCGACCTTCTAGCATTTTCGAAGAATTGTTTAAAAAGCAAGATTCCAAGAGTGGCAGCGAGTCGGATTCTGATAAAAAGTCTGTTGAATCTCCGAAAACTCCCAGTCCACCTAAAGATTCGAAATCTAAATCTGAAGAAAAAGTTGCGAGTGTGCCAGATAAACCTCCATCCACCAGCAGCAGTGAAGATGATTCTACGCCAGAACAAGAAGTCGAACATATTGGACCATTGGTTCACAATCCATCGTCCGATGGTGATTTTTTCACTCCACCATCTTCACCATCTCACCAAAAGAGCAAAGGATCGACTGAGGAAAAGTATTTTACTTTACCACATGGAATGCATCTATCATCTCACCAAAAGAGCAAAGAATCGTCCGAAGAAAAGTACTTTACTTTACCACATGGAATGCATCCATCATCTCATTCAGGAAGCAAGTCGTCGCTTGAAGAAAAGTATTTTACTTTACCGCATACATCACACCAAAAGAGCAAAGGATCGCTTGAAGGAGTTGGCGAGGGTTCATCACCAAAAGTAATGCTTGAAGAAAAGTATTTCACTTTACCGCGTAAACTATTCTCACCTTATCAAAGGCAAAGAATACCGTTTGATGAAGCTGGTAAAGGTTCACCATCACCTCGTCAAAGAGACTGGCGACTTTTTGGAGTTGATGAAGATCCACGCAAGTCAGACCAAGAAGTGCCTGGACCATCTGGTGCTGATGAGTCCAAACCGCACAAGCCAGAGGATCCTGAAGCAAAGACTTCTGGAGAAGCTAATATTAAACAACAGCTTAGTGGTCTTATAAAGGGCTTGAATCAAGCTCGTACTAAAAACCTGCAAAAGGTGAACAAGGGTATGGAGGAGGCTATCAAAAAGATGCAGAAGGATTGGACAACCGGTAAGGATAAGGTTACTGATGCACTCGGTATCAGGAATAGGCAGAGAGAGATGGAGAAACATTATCAACATCAACAGCAACTGCGCTATCAACAGCAGCAACAACAGCGCTATCAGCAGCAGCAACATCAACTGCAACTGCGCCGTCAACAGCAACTACAACAACAGCGCCAGCAACTGCAACAACAGCAGCAACAGCAGCAACGTTATCAACAACAGCAACAGCAGCAACACTATCAACAACAGCAACAACAACGCTATCAACCTGTTCAACGCTATCAACCTATCCAGCACCAACAACACCATCAACAACATCATGTTTTGGCTCATCACAAATTCCATCATCCACTCCCAAAGAGGATCGAAAAAATGTACAGGTTTACCGACTACTCCACAGAATATGGCGATGATAATGAAAATTATGCTCCAGGCTACTTCCGACTACCCGGTGTTGATTATCCTGATCAGGATGATGACAATAATGAAGGATTGAATGACTACGAAGGCTCATATAGACGTATGTCTAATCGAGGCAAGAAGCGAATCAGTAACTGGATAACTTCGGGAAGTCCTCTTCATGAGACTGTTGAAAGCTTACCAGAGGTTCAGCGTGAAGAAAGCAGAAATAGAGAGATGGCTAATACTGAGTATTCGAATCCACTGAAATCTAATTCTGATGGTTCAGGTGGTTCTGGAGGTCAAAAAGCTTCTGGAAGTTCCGATGAAGACACACATAGTGCATTTACTGAAGCTAAGACCTATACTGGAGCAATGGTGATGCCCAAGCCTAGAAAGTCTGTTCCATTTTCTGCCAAAAAAGGTGCTACTGGTACGATAAAAACTGTTGTCCATACTCAAAAAGTGGTGTCCAAGTTGCTCGAAAAAGCGTTCTTTGAAGAGCAAAAGATTGAAGGACTTCGAGAACAAGCTGCTATGGCCGAGAAAAAAGTCAATTATCTTGTTGATAAAGCAAACATATATGGCAAAGAAGTTGTCATGGGTGAACTTACACTAGCGTTGCAATTGTATGAGGAGGCCCGCCAAGCATATGAAAAACCTGCTGCTTTAGTCCAGGAACTCAAGGCTCAAGCGTACGAATACTTGAGAGAACAGAGTAGACAAGGAGTTGACCCCAAGAATGTGCACCCGTCTGTTCATGATCGTCATGAAAGGAAATAGAGCACCAATGACTACGTGATCTGCGTACAACTTATTTTCAATTAGATGTTGTTTTACCAGATTTACTTTAATGTCCAACACACTCAAATTAGCATAGTCTGCATTTATTTTTTTATTTTTCTGCCCTTTAAACTTCATGGTTTAAAACCTGCCGAGAAACCTGTAGGATTGGAGTAGGGAAATGGAGTAGATCCAAGACAAAAATAAACAATTGTTAATCAATAATTTCTAGGTGGTTTTAAAGTCAAAACGATATATTTACAGATCGTCTGTGTAGAAACGAAAAGGCTTTAAACACGGGAGTTGTACTTGAATTGTAGGGTTGACCATCCTCTGGACCAGCACGACTGCTTAAATCCATTTGTGAATTTTTGTCTACTCCGCCAGCAAGTCCGATTACTCTGTCAATGTCACCCAATACATGGTTTTGATCATGGTCGGTGCGAAAGAATCCAACAACTTCGATTTTAGACTGGTCGACTAATTTACTCTCACCAACAGCCAGGAGATCATACACATCACCACCACTTGGCAAGGATACATCAACAGTACTAGCGCGAGTTTCGCCAACCGCTTCATTTTGAACAGTCGAAATTTGGAGTGGAGTGTGTCGCGATTCTTTATGTGGCTTACTAGATACTAGACTGGACAGGATTCCTGAACTGGCAAATGCACCTTTGTTGTTGATACTAATTGGAGCAGGTTGAGAACTAGTTCTTGGAATAGTAGTTGACGGTGCAGTTGGTACTTCTTCTAATCGCTCTTCGGATATTCTTACATTAAGACGAGGCATTGTTCCACTTGCAAAAACAGCTGTACCAGCACGAAAGTCACAGCTTACCAATGAGGAAATAAATGACTTTCTACGCTCATCTTTAGATTGCTTGTCAAGCTTGATATGCATAGAGGGTTGACAATCTGCTCCAGCAATGCTTTGACGCTGTTTTTGAGTTCGTGATAACCAAGATAAAGGAGCATTCATAGCCGGATCTGAAAGTGATCGATGCAATTCCGAAAGTGGTAAACACGGCAACGAATCGACATGACCAACACGTACACTATGAGCAATTTGATCAACCTGTTCAGTCATATTAACATTCAAGTTTTTTTCAATTTGTTTACTAGCGTTGCTTTTGGCCTCGGTTTTTTCTGGAAACAACTTTACATTTGCATTGTGATCCACATTCAACATTTCGTCAACTGAGATGCTGAGGATATCGTCTACATCGCGAACTTGTACTTGAACACTATTCACTGCTTGCTCGCATTGCAAATCATTGATTCCAATTTGAAGAATTTGGTCTACATCAATCTGGGTGGTTGGGAATTTCACAGATACCAATCTTGCTACTCCATGCGAATTCATATCAGGGACTTTAGGAGCCATATGTGTATCATTCAAAGGAGCAGTTTTTACATGTTGATCAGGATGTGCTGGCAACAATGAATTCAACCCAATTAGTACAATTGTTTTGACGAATAAAATACCCAATGCAATGTACAATTAGATATGATACTTACTTGGATTCAAATTTTTTACTGGTTGTGTAGAGAGAGTGGGGTTAGTATCTTGAGATGCTTTATCTCCAGATACCATTTCCAGCGACATGGATCGAGAACTTTCATCCACGACTGACAAAGACATCATTTGTGCAGAAGCACTCAGTGACAAAAACGAATCCATATCAGTTGTTTTGGGAGTAGTTTTTTGATTTATATCCTGTATTAGAGGAGTTTTTGTACTGTTTCGTTGATACCCAGAGCTATTTCCAGTAGTGTCAGATTCTCCTCGCGGACGTGAGCGTGTACCAGATGCAATAGATGATTTGCTTGCGGGATGCATGGATGGAGATGTGCGAGCCAATGAACCTTGAGCAAACTCGATACTTTGTGTAAGCTCATGATGACCTACAATTTAGCATCGATGGTCAGATTAAACTAGACATCACAAGACATTGGCGTAATAATGTGTAGCATGCCCAATGCAGCCAAGACAGTTGCAACAACAAATCATGTAAATATATTTACTGGATGCATCGTTGCTTATCCCACAGACAGGATTAGTTGTACTGCTGCCAATTCCTTGATTGCTGGCCGTGGTTTCAACATTGGCGCGCTCGCCCAGTTTAGCTTTACTTCCGCTCTTACTGCCATGACCACCAAAATAAAGCTTATACTGGTTTGGACTGATATTTGTATCGGTTGTATTGGATCTTGGTCTATTGGTTTCTCTTGCACTACTTCCTGTCATGAGTTGTAAAATACTTCTTCCTATAATATGTCCATCATTTTTATCCGCTGCAGCCAGAGTGGGCGATGTAGTGGATGGTAATGGCAGTTCTGAGCTGCTTCCGGTTCTATTAGCATGATATTTATGCTGATAATTAGAGTGTTGGTATGAATGTCCCAATGCATTATGCTGCAAGGCAGTTCGACTTGACATTGGGTCTGAATGCGGCATGCTCGCTGTAGGCGACGTTATACTTGGTTTACTTGCTGAGAAAATAGACAGTCTTTGGCCGTGAATATCAATAGAATGTCGATGGTTCATATTTTCCTTTATGGAATAAGCTGCTTCTAATATTGCATCAATATCGGTTGGAGGCAACGATTCACTTTCAATAGTCGAGCTATCCATCATTGCCGAATATAAGAAATGCTAAATAATTTGGAACAAACAATTCCAATTCTCAAACTTGTTCATTTTGGTTTAAAGGCATTCAAGAATTTCTTTGGCTTTAGATAATTGCTCGTCTGGTAATATGTCCAGCTTAATTGCATGTTCTGTATTACGTTTTACCAAATATCAAGTTAGTGTTTTTTCAAACTATTCCAACAGTAAGCAGTATATTGAGTGATGCATGGACTTGCCAAGAAATTGCTGAATGGCTGTTTGATCATGCTGAGATGTTGAGGAAATGTGATCCAACAGATCAATAATCATCCAAACATGAGTGGGGTCATGTGGAGTATCAATTTGCGAAAGCAGCTAGTGTCATGTTGTATTATTAGTACATGTAGTATCAAATAAAAGGTATATTCTGATTCAACTTACAGTATTTAAAAAATACAACAGAAGCGAATCATCAATTTGGTGCGCATTGGATGTCAAGTAGGTGAATATGGGCAGCACAAAGCCAGTTTTGATCAGTAGAATAAAATGGTCAAGAAATCTCTCACGAAATTGAATCTGAAAAATAGCTTATTGTTAGACAAATGGAATGTGTATTTCATCAGATTGAATCTACAACGTACTGCTACAAGTGGAGTAATCTTTTGATACTCGTGCTCAAAAAGCATCTTCCACACTGAAAACACATGTGATCGTTGCTCAGGATTTCGAATTGCCATCTATTTTTATATAAAAATCAGTATGCAGACTATTCAAGTTTACTAGAAAACAAAATTCAATCATTACCTCGTCGAGAATATAAAAAATGGGTGGAGCGTCACCAAGAGTAAATGAGATCCATTCGTAAAAGTCGGGATCAAACAATCGTTGCTTGATCCAATGCAGCAGCCCCATTGAAAGAACAGGTTCATCAATTGCAGAAAAGAATTTAACCAATTGATCTTGCATCTGAGCCATGGATGTAACACGAATCAGTACACCATCAAATGCCTCGAGCTGTTCATACAACGGAATCACGGCTTTTGTATCTACAATGGTTGGGTCTGGACTTGAAACGATGGTTGCTGATGCGTATGCCAGAAGCCATAGTTTTTCTTGGCGGTAATTGTTGGATCGACCCGGAATAAAGCAATCAGCTATCAGTGCGTTCATGATGGTAAATGAGCGCAATAATTCCACTGGTGGTGGAGTCAATCCTTTGTAAGCTCTGTGTAGTTTGATGATGTCACCTGCTGTAGGTTTTCCAAGAGCATGTATGCTAATTAATGATGTAACCACATCTAGAGGCAGATCATCAGAATATTTGACAATATCCGACAGCATTTGAGCCCTGAATAATCCAAAATATAGCATGATTAATGGAATGATATTAAGATATATACAAGGCTCCGATGCCAATAATAAGCCGACTGATCTGATTGCAGTCGGATTCATGTAAAATAGTACTTGAAATAATAGTGATTATAAAACACAATGCACTCAACTCTTGATTAGAAGCTGCTAGGGTTTGCAACTCTTCTAAAATGCGATTGATTGGAAATCCAATATGAATACCATCATGCCATTCATTTGACAGTTGTTTGAGCAGTGCTTGAATGAACAAAAAGTTGTGAGAGTCGACAACACACAATGGCTATAATTTATACAATGTTAGATTGAACATACAGCAACAGAACAATCATGCCAACACACCTTGAGTTTATACTTCATCCAGTGAGCAAGTTGGTCCTCTGAAAGCATGGGAATTTGAACAAGAAGGTCTACTAAATATGCAGTAAAGGCAGACAGATCTTTGGCAATAGACGGAGGTTTTTTGGTATCATCGTTGCTTACAGGCTGAACAGACTGTTTTGATGGACTTTCCGGATAATTGGAGTTTTTTGAAGGACTGTTGGGCACAAGATGAAGGTCTTGTGTTGCATTTGGACTAGTGCTTACTTGTGTGTCTATCAAATGCTGTCCATAAGAAGCTGTACTATCCACTTGAAACTCTTCTTCAACAACTTCTTCATAATCCATCTTCCAACTGTCTGTTCAAATTCAAGGAATGTAGATTGCATTCATTTACAATTATATTTCATATAAAATGACGCTTTTCCATACAACAGGATCTTGCTTTGGTCATAAACACTCTTGATTAATAGATTGTCATTCATGTCACAAGATTGGTCATTTACACTTTTATTTAGCATTCCATCTGCGTGAATACAATAATAAATACAATTCATTACTAGAATGTGTTAATCTGCGTTTTAAATTGATTTAAATTGTTGGAATGATTCATTTAAAATAACTGGTTTTTAAACTGTTGCTAGTACATATTTCAATAAGATCGAATGCTAATTGAAACTGACAAGCATTGGTACAAGTCAGAAAGTGCTTTTTTTCAGCTGAATTCAAATGCATGAAATGAACTAGCAAATGAAGCATGATGAAAGTTGAATTGCATCGTAAAAACCAGCACAAGTTGGTTGACGCGTCTTGACATTTCACAGTGACAAAGAGAATGAGAACAGAACAAAGATTTGACTGTTTAATTGAATGTTTGCATAAAATTCACACTTTTGTAGTTGCTTTTTTTGTAAACATTGACGGATTGTCTGCCGATTCAAATGACAGAAATATTCATTGCTCGTGTTTCTTGTATCACGACCAGTTTGCTAAATCACTTGTGTTTAATCACTTGTGCTATTACATGTTGTCTCTTTCAATGAGCTATGTGACAACACTCATTAATTTCAATGACTGCTGAGCTTGCTAAGCTTGCTGAGCTCGGTGTTGATCTTGTTTTGACACAAGCTTTAGCATTTCCACATAGAATCTGTGTGCTAAACCAAAACAATCGTGTAATTTTACAAATGCATAATTCACGCTTTTAAAATACAGCAACAGCAGTCTGATGTCAACTGTTTCCAAATCATAAAGTCGAGTTTTCTGTATAACCACACATATATTTTCCATCTGTTCTCATTCTTATTGTCACTATTTTTAGCTTAAAATCAAGTCACACATGAAGGCACAACCCGACTGTTTCAGTTATCCAACCATTACTAAACAGAATAGAATCAGCTTTAGTATTAAATATCTTTTTCAACAGAAACACATCAATAAGTCGTCGATTTACCCTGACACTATGGCCAGTTTACTACCCCATTCTGTTCCAGACCATTCTTTTCCCAACAACCAGGCGAGTAGTATTGAATCTACACATCTGAGTAGCAGCTCAAAAAGTGGTCCATGCATTAAAACAGTGGAAAGCATACAATCCTATTCATACAAGGGATTAGAACCAAGACTACCAAAACCAGATTCTCCAGATTCTCCAGACCAAGCGTCGCATCAGGATGATCAAAGTCAAGCAGCAGTCGCCAAGAATGCATTGGTTGTTTTAAAACAGCCAGATAACAATAAGGAAAACGAATGCGTTGTTCAAAGAGACTTGTTTGTTCAGGTACAGTGATGAAGGTGCTTGAATCTACATGGTGTTGATGGCGAGATTCATGTCGAGTATTGATGCGTATACATGATAATAGGATATTGCTCCGCCCAGTAAGCATTCAAAGCATCACAAGTTTATTCCTAAATCACTCTGTCGGCTGTTTGGATGCTCAAAAGCATCCGTACCAGCAACCCTATCCCCACTACAACCAGTGCCTACCAGTGTTTATCCCAACCCTGAGCCATTGGAGGCAGCTGCCTACTGGTTCGAAAAAGAGGAGTTGAGTGCTGCATTGCAATACCTCGAGATTTCAGCTACACAAGGGGATCCAGTCGGATTGTTTTTGGCTGGCATGTCTCATTCTCATGGCTGGGGTTGCGTCCAGGTGGAATCTCTGGGATTGAGATATTATCGTACAGCAGTAGACAAGACGATTGCTGCTATGCGCGATGGTGCGATTATCCTCGACAGTTATTCAGTAGAATCGCTACATACTATTTCAAACCGTTTAACCAGTCAGAATACTGGCATTGGAAATATTTATAGTGATGCTTCTTCAGTATCAATGCGAGGATCTGCTGTCCATCTCACTGCGACCCATCCACGCTCTTCTCTCTCCCTTCCAGATTATGCTCTCTCTGCTATGCGCATATCCAAATCAGGTACCATTGAGCGTCGTAAAAATATAGTCTCGCTAATGGCCTCCACTCCACTCCATGCCATGCTTTCCCTATGTGTTCGCGAAATCGGAATCGCATATCTGTATGGATGGGGTATTCGTCGATCTAAAAAAACCGCTTTTGAGTTGATCAAGGTTGCTGCTGAATTGGGTGATCCAGATGCTCAACAACATCTTGGATTCTTGTATCTACACGGATCAGGGGTAAAGAAAAACAAACCACTGGCTGCACATTGGTATAGAATCTACGAACAATCTACCCACACCATACTCTACGAACCGTGGATTTGGTTTAAAAAGTATACCTCAACCACAACACCTATTCCCGTTCTATCTCCTGATGAGTTGGTGCTTCATGCGGTGGAACTGGTACACCAATCTGACATTGTTCCTATTCCTATAGGAAATAATGCACTGGATTCTCACATTCAATCCCATAACCGCAAGCGATTTAACTGGAAAAACATCTCACTTGCAATCAGACAAATATCCAACTAGTCTTATCTTGTTGCATACTATTTATTAGAAATTGATGGCCATCTTGCATCCACAGGAAATTCAGCACTTTGCAAAGATTTACATTTCAACCTAGACCATCTTTTTCCACTCAACACCAGCAGTTTATTTTCACCCACTGCTATGATTGTGCTTAATATCAATAAATTGCTCAATGTTTGCATTTACTCTTTTGTAGTGTGTTTGGTTTCTAAAGTCAAGATTAGAATGTATGGTGTGCAAAAGACATGTCAGGGGTTGTACAGACCACTGTATTTCATCATGCGCGATCATCTCCAATTATATAATTTAATCCCATCACTTTGAATAGAAACCAAAAGTTAAACTACTGCCAGAATAAAAATGTTTATAAAATAATCTTGTTGAATACAATCAACCCATTCCAACACTGTTTAACCCAATTCAAATACCAAAGAGTAGTCCATCCATGCCTTTTGGGACAAAGAAAAACGCTGCCATCAGCATCGAATAACTCAATAATAAAATAGCTCCCTTGAAATAGTTGCTCTTGCCTTCAATGTAGATATAGGTCAAGAGAAACATGGCAAACATGACCGAGTAAAAATCCCAGTTGGGAAAAACAAGAGTAAAGTTTTGCGATTCGACACCTTCGCCATGACCACTATTTAATGATCCAGATAAAGACGCCGTGTCCATGGCTGATCGTTTCAGTAGAGAAGGTTCACCCATAGCTGCATTAAACAGGTGCATGACCATTTCAAATACAGCATGAATGGCTTTTCCAACATATCTGAATGGCAGTTTGGTTTCTGACAAGACAGCCGAATTGATGCTGGCAGATGCAATTGGACTAGGCATGGTATTCAAGGATATCATGCTAGGCACTGATTCTACAAAAGATTGAGAATGACCATACCATTCCCACACGGCAGAAAAGGCTACCAAAGCCGGAATTTGCAACAAAGCAACTTGTATGGCATACGCCGACCCAATTTCCAACGACAGTACAATGTTTCCATTCACTGCAAACGCAATAGCATTGTAAAACTCGGTGATGGTGGGAACAATGGCAAAAATAGTCAATCCCAATGTTTTTTCATCCATAGGAAACGTTTCTAAAACAAAGTCGATTGAATCAATCAAAACTTCTGCAATGATCGAGTAAAGAACAGTGCATGCAAGCAGTACCAATGCTGATTTAAAAGAACTCCAACCAGGATTGTCATGACCACCTTCTTGATCGGATTCATCAGATTCAGATCGAGCAGAAGAAGCATCATCGCGACCACCTGATGGGCGATGAGGTAAGGCGGCAACGCGTTGTCGAGGACTGGAAGTGCCATGATGTAGGTCGGTTGTCAAGTTTGATGCATGCAACAGTTGTGTTATCGTTGGGCCTGCGACTGAATGGGGTCGAGAATTGGGTGAGCCCAAATTGGCATCTTGAAGAGCACGACGTCGAAGTTTTGCTCTAGTGGCTGGTGAGTAATTTGGAGAAGATGAGTCTGGACGACGCTGTTGGAGAAGTGTAGATGCAGTCAGTGGGTTGGCATTTGTATTACCACCCATAGCATGAGTGGACGATTGCAAAGGCAGGGCTGGAGAACCAATACTATGATCGATTGGAAGCTGCGATGGTCCAATAGAAAGAGGACGAGGAGAAAGAATCCCCGATGCAGAAGTGCGCCGGGAAAACATTTGCACAAGACCATCTGGGATTGTAATGCGAGGAGTAGTCTTTGGTTTCTTTTTTGGATAAATTTTACTTGCATGAGTTCCAAGAGAAAACCAAAGTCCAACCGCATAGGTAAGAACCAAAACAATCGCACAGAAATACATGAGTGGTTTTGTCGACGTGAGATAAACGTGGTCTCTGGATGGAGGAACCTTGCTGATTGAGCATTGTCTGCAACTTGAGTTTGTAGAATCAGATGCCATTGTCACAATGGTTTGGGCAAGATTAGAGCCTCGAACATGACAGTCGGAGCAGTAGATCTGGACTGACCCATAAATGGTCTGAAATAGAGTGGGTGTAAATACTCCAATTACGGCAACCACCATCATAGTGCTAGTAACACCAGCACTTTTTGCATTGAATCGCTGTTCTTTACGAACCAATCCACCAGAAAACATGGCAACACCAGGAAGTGCAAGCAAGCCAGCTAAAAAGGAACCAATGATCGACCCTTCAACCAGCTGGTTTTTTCCTTCCATCAATGCAATGATGTATAGAATAATTTCAATAATACTGCCAAAGGTAGCATTAATGACCGAACCAATTGCTACAGATCCCGTGTGGGCAGTAATGCTAGAGACTGCCATGCCAATAAAGTATGCAAGTGGGATCACACTCAGTAACGCAAACACAAAGATTGGACCATGACCAGCAATGCCAGTGTATCCATTGCTTGGGCCAATGACATAAAAGTCAAACAATGTAAATGCAATCATGAAGAGCAAGTTGATAAAGATGATGTTTGTGCCATCCACCGTGTACTTGTAATAAGCAAATCCCATTGAGTGATAAGTGCACAGCACAATTTCATATTCGCTGTCTAGTAAAGGAATGGAAGATGACATGGATGAAAATATCGAGTTGCTTTCAGGAAGGTAGAATCGCTGAGTTCGGCGCGTAGGTGCAATATCGGCTGTTGCATGAGCGGGAGTGTTTGGATGATTCGAGTTTTGAGCGTGTATATTTCCATGAGCAGATGATTCATGGGATTCCAGGTTGGATTCAAAATGCGATGATGGCAGAGGATCCGTTTCATTAGTGCTTACTGGACGCCAAAAGAAGACGCTTTTTGGACGAGGTCTTGAATATGAACGTGCTGTATTGCGAACAGGCAAAGGAGTCCCTGCTGATGAAGATTCGCCATCTAAACCCGAGGTAAAACTAACTGCATTGGCAGCAGTGTTTTGCTGTAGCTTTTCATCGGCATTCTGAGCGTCAGTAGATGCTGGATTGGAAGTATCTTGGCAGAATTCATTCTGTCCAGGTTGATATTCGCTAGCATAATGGGATGAAAGCTGTAGCGGATGACGCAGTAGATGACGAAGCAACACATAGGTAAGTCTTGCCATGGGAACAGGAAAGATGAAGAAAAAGCAAATAGCGCTGACAATCAAATGAACAGGTGCGATAATCAAGAGAGCCACAACGTAAAATGTAAATCCAGAAAATCCAGCATTCCAAGTACGTCTGACAAAACAAGGAACCCAAGATGGCCAAGAGTAGTGATCGTGACGACCAACACCAAGAGAAAACTCTGTTAGTAGATCTTGTAGTTCACCTCCTTCCAAATGCCCATTGACATAGTATGAGCCATCGGCTTGAACACTACGAGCACCATGATTAGATGATTGTAATGGATCATTGATGTCAATGCCTACGTATTCTTGGGCAGGATGAGGGATTGGATTCGAGTCCATGGTAGCAGCATTATCCACGACTTGTTCAAAAACCATATGATAACCCTTTTTCTTTGCAATAAACTTGCCAAATGGCCAAAACATGTAGTCTGCTAGATTTAGTAACACCTATAATAAATGTCAGGTTTGATTCAAAAAATGAAACATGTAAAACCATAGTTTTTACACTTGTAAATAAAGCTTACCAATGCATAATCACTGAGACGAGCCAGTTCTAAAAACATGCGTGGAAAAATAAAAAAGATGGAAGGTTTTTGAGTATGGCGAATAGATGCATTTGCATTGGGACGTCGGTATCCAAAGACCCAACATACTCCATAACCTAAATAACCAATCAAGCATATAGGGCCCAGTATTCCAATGGCGACTATGACATAGATCAAGGCAATCCACCAGCCAAATAACAGTGTCCAACAAAGATTATCAGGTGACAGATAAAGAAAACGAGATGAAACCGAGCCAGGAACAGAATGAAGCGCTTCGTATGATTTGTAATCGATGCTGCGAGATTTTGGGTAAAGTGCAGGTTTCCAGATTTTCAAACCGAATGGATGACTAATATTGATTGCCTGATTACAGTAGAAAATTAATGGCAAAGGTTAGATGAATGGAATCAAGTGTGTCAATACACATAGAAGAATGAATGGAATTAATATGGCAAGTTGTCACTTGGGATTGGTCCACATCATGGATTATATTTAAATCATTCATGACAACTCGCTGGTTACATGAAACCACAAGAATGCAAAGCCTTTGATCACAAACCTCTTGAACATCCCTGACAGTTGTTTCCTCGTTTTCATCATCATAGCTAGTCTCTAAATGCTCATTGTTCAAGTCATCTCCATCTGTAAGCTGGCCGTCTTGAACGGTGTCCTGATTTTCAAAATCCAAATCTTCTGATGCGGAACAAGAGTCTGATTCGTTAATAGTTTTACTATAGGAAGCATCAACAGGCCGTTGAGTGTGAGCACGATAGTCTTTAATAGTACTGTCCTCATAGTCAGTATCAAAGCCAGGCTCTCTGAGCATACTCGAAGGGGTCATGACGGCAGTGGCACTGGGACTGTGATCTTTAGCTGATCGTTGCTGGTGGCGACGTTTGAGTTTAGAAGTGGTCAATTTCGTATTGGATTGATGAGTAGAAAGTGTATTAGTTTCTGGTTGTAAAGGTAGTTTAGGAGTATTACAGTCGGATTGAGGTTTAATCTGGTCGATTTTAGCAGTTTCTGTTTCAATTCCTGTAATTTCTGTTTCGATTCCTGTAATTCCTGTAGTCTCTGGTTCAATCCCAGTCTCAATACTATCCTCTGCAGTACTCTGCTCCTTTCCCTTTCCCTTCTTTGATGTTAGTTTAAATCCAAGCGGCATTTCAAACTTGGAATTCTGATTTTGTTCAAACTTTATTCAACGCGATTTTAAACTCATCATATTACCACGTGATCAATAGTTGACTTTTGATTTTATTATTCTGCTAGCAAACATACCGTTTCTGTGTGCATGATACTCAAAGACTAGAAAAATAACGCATAATTGAATATTTGTAACTTGTCAAGACATTACAGCAAATGACTCAATGAGTATAGCTATCAGGATGTGGTTGAGTATTCATTTGGTTTTATACAAAAGTGAAACAAGCTTTTGTGATTAGTTTATATATCTCACAATCATCACTAGTACAACACTTTTATACATTGTTGTAATAGATTTTCATTTATTATATTGTAAAAACAATCAAATCAATATACTTGATTCAAATATCTAGTTTTGATCACAGCTTTTTCCAATATAAATGCAGCAAATGTCCATGTGAGTGCATCCAGAAGTAGGTTTGGGGCCACGAGTGGTGGTGAATCTCTTTGTGGTGGTAGTAGTCCTCGTAGTTGTAGGTCTTGCAGTAGTGGTAGCTCTTGTGGTAGTTGTGAATCTTGTGGTAGTAGTAGCTTCTGTAGTAGTAGCAGCTTCTGTAGTAGTATCAGCAGGTACGCTGCTAGAGGATGAATCACCACCACATTCAGTAGGAACGGAAAAGTCGTTGTTGAACTTGGCAGCCTTGACTCCCAGACCGCGTTTGGCGAATCCTTTCCAGATCTCGCATTTGTTGGCACCTTTGTAGCGAGCAACATCAGATGCAATATAGGCATCACGAGCATCAAGGAGACTGGGATTGCATGGCTGGAGCATAAATCCACCAATCATATTCTGCATGGCAATAATGTTACCAGACTTGCCCTTGGCATCGTAGAGATTGGTGGAGAATCCGTTCTTGGTGACCAAGTTCCAGTAGACTTCCCAAAGCATAGAAACCCACACTTCACCAGCAGCATGAACTTCTTGGCGGGTCTTGAGATCGGAATAAGTCAAAGGATTGACTTTCATGTCAGTAGTATAAGGATGGGAACGAGCACCATTGGCATTGTTGATAGCATAGCTACCAAAGTGAATCGGTGTTTTGGAATTCTGTGATTGCGTGGCAGTTACGATCATGTAGAACATGTCGGACCAGCCTTCGTTCATACCGCCAGCTTCACCTCCAACCAGACAATTGGATGCTGCTGCTCCACCAGTCAAACGACCTGAAACACCGTGTCCATACTCGTGCAAAGGAACTTGGTTGTCAAAAGCACCGTTACGGTTGGGCTTGGTATAGGTAAATCGGAACATTCTCATTGTGCCAGGTTGACCATCAGCAGGAGAAAAGAAGATGGCATTGTTGGTGCCTGAAGTGTTTAGAATATCGATGTTGACTGGATCGTTACCCTCACCACCTTTTCCAAAGTTGTCCTTTTGGAAATTACCTGCAGCCTCGTTGAAACCATACTGGTATGTGATGTCGTGCATCAGGTTAGCAAGATAAAACAGATTGACTGCTGCTGCCTGAATGTTGTCTGGATCTTTGGGCTCAGCAGTGGGGTTGAACTTGGTGTCAAATACACCCTTTACGCCGGTTCCTGTAACTGGCAGTTCTCCTCCATAGTATTCGGCATTAACATTGTTACCCTCAGTGACAGTTCCATCAGTCCATCCATTAGGCGACGATGCTTTGTATTCTGGATCTTTGACGTTGGAGAATCCATCATTGGGACTGAGACGAGGAAGTGGAATAGCCTTGTATGTTGCACGATGACCAAAATCAACAGCCTGAATCAGTTTGCCTAATATCAATCCATTTACATTCAGATTAGTGCTGATTCCACAAAAATCAATATCTGAACCCGAAATACCGTACCCGTGTTGACATCGGCCCAAACTTGAATCCAAGAAGTAATATCCTTGTCGCGAAGCTGGAACTTGTAAGCATACACAAGCGTGCCATCAGCCTGTTGGACATACTCGAGCTCATGTTTAAACTCAGAGTAAACTGGCAGACCCTTGGCTTTGGATACAGTATCAGCAACCTGCTCAAACGTCAGTTTGGCTTTGGGTTCTGCGACTGAAAGCTCACTTTTGGCAAAATGGCTTTCAGTACCAAACGAAGTCGAATATGAGATGATCTGGCCGTCTTGGATATGGACTGCGGCTTGGTGATTGGATACAGGTGCGCCATTAACTAGATGTGCACCATATACGTGAGTTACACCAGCACTGTCTGTAAAGCTATTGTAAACCTTGAACTCGTTAGATGAGAGATTGAGTTTGTCACAGAGATACGCAGTGCCAATTTTGACAGAGTCAGTATTGGATGGAGTCATGAGGCTGGATGAGTGATCATAGGGAATCTGCTGGTAAGTGGATTTGGGAAAGTAGAATGGAAGACTGTCAGAGGCATCTTGTGTGGATGGAATGGTTGGAGCAGCAAAAATTGCAGAGGTGGCAAGAGCAAGAACGAGAGAAACAGTAGAAATGAACATTTTAAAGTATTTTCAATATCTATAGTATATATGTAGCAAGTATAAGATCAAACTGTTACAATGATATGTATTGATGGAACTGATTGTATGTCGTTCCATGTCGCTTTATATTTTAAATCACAACACATTTACAGTGTCGAGTTTACTAAATATTCATGTGCTAATTAAAAAAACACACATGGATGAATAACAAGCGCATGTGTTTATAAATCCATATTCAAACTATGCATGTGAAGCGGGTTCATTATTGCGTTGATTTTGATTCTGACAATTGCGTGAATGTGAGTTCAAGAAACATGCACTATATAGCGTAGGGCTAATACCCGTTGATATTCACTAGCCATTTGCAAGCTACAAATTTGATTTTGAATCTAAGCCATGCTATCATGTGCAATTCGCGTGCACCGTAAATTTGCGGATATTGACACCAACTTGATTTCAGATTGAGATGGTGCTAGACTACTATGCAACTTTTCAATCAGCTTGTTTCATGTTGTCAAATCTGGACGCTTGGCATATACATGAACCGTTTATCACACTACAGACAGGTTCGGTCTGCATTGACTGTATGTATGCCTTGTACGTGTTTAGACAAGACTCGTCGAGCATGAATCAGCTTTGTGTATTCAAAAAGTGAATATATGATCAGAATCTGAATGACTTGAACTAATGGCATGCATGCTTATACATCAAATTTGTCGTATTATAAATGATATTTTTAATCCGAATGGTTTCAGGTATCGACACCAACTCAATCACATGATGCAGCAACAGACTTGGTCATGTGGTAAATGGAATAATTGCAATATGCTTTGTTCATTTAAACATCACAATGGCTAGATTTATGATTTGATAAGCAAAAGCAGGAGATGGTAAACTGACATGTCAATTGACTACAGCTATCATCAGTTTATAGATCGGATAAATGCCCAACATTAATTATGGGCAATGAAATAATATGGTAAATGAAAGTATCGAGCAAACGAGTCTTGAATTACAAGCAATTACAAGCAATCTCGACAAAATTTTAAACTGGTAATGCATCAATTGCTTGATTCCAAATATGAGCTGTATAATTGAAATGGTCAATACCAATTCAATCTTGGCTATCAAAATATATTGCAGTCATGACAGTAGCCATTTCAATGACCAGTCAGACATATTGGACCATTGCAAGATGATGTTGCATTTTTGACTGTTGCAAAAGCAGTGGTCGATGGTGCAATGGATTCACCTGCAAATTTGGCTTATATTCATGTGTAATGAACAGTACCATGCATGTGGTAGACATGACAGCTGCTAATGAATGTCATTATGTTGTTGTATTACAATTGATCATGTTGATATGAAATGGTTGCGATCGTCATTTCAATTATTGGTGTATTGTACAAAGCTGCAGATCTCAAGTCAATGACTACATGTATTGTGATGTAATACTTGATATGTCATGGCTGAATTTGTTACATATGTTATGCTGTAGTTTAGATACTAATCGTATGATATAGAAATAACAGAGTTGCCAAGACCAATTAATGCGCAAGTGAATGGTTGTTGGTTGGAAAAATGTCAAGTTGATGTTTGAAAAGCTAATCAGCGTAGATCATCATGATACTTGCAGCAGTATACCATATTGCACATCTAAATATACAGTGCTAATTGTCAAATATCATAGAGTATCATGAAATGAATGCCAGACTATTGGTACTTGTGTAGCACATATTGCCATTGGTTGTGCATATGTCATTGCTTTACATTCGGTTGTATCATATTGATCGACATGTACATCAATCATGATACTGAATCCAACAATGTTGCTTGTATTGACTTGCAATATGGCTATAGTATATACAAATACATGCTTGATTACAATGTAAATGGCAGTACTGTGTTTAAATTGAATTCAAAGTAACAGAAACAAGATTATTCGAGTAAAAATCCGAGTGCTGGAACTTCAAAAGCTTATCGAAATATACGGCACGCTTGATATGGAAAGAAACAGTACTATTGTCCGTATTGCTACAAGTATATTGGAATCGACACTGATACAAACACTGGTGATAGCTGTGAATCGACTGCAAGTCTAAAATAAACAGTGATGTTGAACATGATTAGTAAACCTAGTTGTATTGGCTGCTGTTACACAAGATCAGCTGTTTCACCAGTGTATTTTGAATGTCACAATGTTGATCAACCACAAATATATGTTTTTGATGAGTCCATCTGACCAATTCAATGTATGGTAGTGATTGGTGTAATATGATCAAGCCATTAGTATAATACATTGTTGTTTGGTAATGAAAGATGTTTATTGAATGAACGAGATTGAACGCAAGACAAACAACAGAGTAAACCAACATATAATACGGCTGTATTGTAGTATGTTGTAGATAATGCTGTCGATAGTTGATGTCCAGATTCAGAAATGCGACGAGTCTATGGTTGAAGAGTTTGTTGTTCAGCACCAGAATCTTGAGCAACTGCACCATGCTCAGATTATTGCAATAAATCTGGTGGGCCGTTGTAGAATTTAACAAAGCATTGCATAAATTCGGGAATTGATTTCAGGAGTGGGGTATCACCAGCCATTTCTCCAGTCGAATCATGTTTTTTGAGGTAATCATAAAGCGCCACTCGTAGTTTACGCCATTCCCCATGCCATTCAAGATACTCATGATATAATGTATTCAACTCATCTTTGAGTGTTTTAAGAATTGCACGGTAAGCTTCAGTTTCAGATTTAACTTGAGAAATCTTTGTAGTATAATCTACAGCTTCATTGCTTTCTTGAGCTTTTTGTTCCAGGAGTTCGAGTTTTTTCATTTTCTTATCAATCAGCTTTGTATATTCTCCAGCATCGGATTCTTTTTGGTCGGATTTTTTATGTTCAGTGTCGAGCACCATTTTAATGTTTGCATATGCTTCGATCAGATCGATTCCTTCCTGATCAAATGAATCACAGCCAGCGTTGTTTGGGCTAAAAACTGAAGAAGTGGGTCCATCAGTTGAAGTTGCGCTTGTAGAGGCTGTTGGAGTGCTAGCTGCAGAACTCATGGTCGAACTGGGATCAACTGGATTGGCAATTGTGACCGAACAGATAGCAAGGATTGATGACAGTACGGCAATTGAGAATTTCATTGTATTGGTTTGGTTAGGCAAGTTGTAATGAATGTGATTCAACACGATAGTTTGGTGACATATTTGTATACATTATTAGATTGATAATATTAAAAGCATATTCCTTGAATGACCGTCCTAAGGGATTTGTGTTGTCGGGGTTAGCATTGATTTACTGCTATAAATGTCAATATAACTTTAAAGGGATCTCCCTTTATACAATCGTCCGTTGCTTGATTTAAACCCTGATATCAGGGTTAGCGACTAGAGTATACTTGCCGCACTATGATGTCGCTACACAATATATTCTAGGCGATATCATTACATGACGGCACAAGCAATGTTGTACATCCACTTCATTTATGTTGCAAACACTCAAAATCTCATCTGTTCAACAACACATTGCCACCAATACAATAGTATGTGACATGATCATATTGCACCAATCGACCAGTATACGATCACTGGATACATCACACGTTGGTGTTTACCACTGTATATGTGTGGTGTATATTGGTTATAGTCCATGATATCAACGAGTTTATGCATATTGCTTACACCACGCACATCAAACCGACTCAGTGGTATGCAAGTGTTGCGGTTTGACCAAATCACAATCACCCATATTATCGACTGTCCAACTCGTTGACATTCAAATCATGCCATCACTAGTCACAATATAATGGTTGACTGACTTGTTTGATTGATCTGACATTGACACTTTGCAAACCTCGACTTGATTCATCAACTTGGATATTCATATAATATTGGGTTTGTATCATCACGTTGGACTCGTTATCAAACACCTTGATGTGTCCATGCAACACAAACTTGATATACACACATTAGTTACTGTTTGACATGACTGGGTCGATCATACATACCAGACAATGCAACTGTATTAGTTGTATGATACAATCAATCATGGTTGGCTCATCACCATCAAATATCAAATGTTGATCACGTATACATTGATTTGTAATTGCATGGTCCGTTGGTAATACACACTATGATATGATTGACAAGTTGTTGATTTGCAGTAATCAGATGTGCATCACCTGTAACATTGGATGCAATTGACGAGTTGTAACCGCAAGTCAACAATCATCGATATGTTGGTGATTGTATCGACTACATGATTGGTATGGATTAGCTGTCATGATCGATTGGTGGACAATACAATCCACATTGATTATGACGTGTTGCAACTGGTTGATATATGCAGACTCGACTGATGATCGAGTATATTACAGTGTATTGGTCAACAGTGATTGTGATCAATGACAATATTTCAATCAATCCAATCCAATTGTTGATTGGAACAATCACCATTCACATGTCAGATTCAGCATGTTTGTGGCACATTTACAAATCCAACAATTGACTGATCAGGACTGAATGACATTGCAATGATGGTTTGCAACAATTGAGTTGTACTGACCAACAATCCAAATGGAATCTGAACATTGTTAAAGATTTTGATTATCGCGCAAGAAGTATAGAGATAAAAATAGAGAAAGAGACTGAGTCTTTCAATTAGTAAAGTATAAGGTAATAATATATAATCTGCCGCTGTAGAAAAGATCGGTCAGAAGAGATCTTGAATGATAATCAGGAAGTAGTCACGCAAATTAAAGTCAACAGAATAACGAGTTGAACTTAATAGATAATAACGAAGTTATGTCAGATGATATTTAGATGATTGATTCAGAGGATATTCAGAGGATATTCAGAGGATGTTTATTTAATAAGAAAGTGTCTTAGTTCTTATAGTAAAAGATTGTTTGAGGCTTGTGGCTCAAACAGGTAGTATTTGATAATAGGCTATAGTACCCGGAGATAACTTGGCCAATAGGATTGATTACAGCTGTTAGCTGTGTCGTTATAATGGGATATAGTTACATATGATTGGTAACTATGAATACAATGTTAAAGTAAGTAGGGTCGTTATAGAAACATAAGGGTCAATAATGATGGTGACGTTATGAATTAGGGGATATACAATGTGACACACTAGTGTTACATTGTGTTAGAGTTGAATAATACCCTGCTTGGATATTATATCCGATGTAAGTTAATTAGTTGAACGGTTCGTAATCGGTTAGAGTTTGATTACTTCAACAAAGGTCTGATTTCTTTAACACCCCTCCTCGCCTTGAACGGCTCTCAGTCCAAGTAGATCTGAGAATTGGGCAAAGGCGATCCTTGGAAGACCTTTTGTCATGATGTCCGCGATCTGATCTTGAGTTCTAATATACATGACTAGTATATTCTTTTGCGAGACTTGGTCGCGTAGGAATTTAAGCTTGACGTCCATATGCTTAGTTGTAGCATGATTGGGTGCTTGATTTTCCGTGTTGGCAATTGCTGATTGTGAATCGGAGTAGAGTATCGTAGCTCTTTCTTGAGTGAATCCGAGTTCATTAAGCATGTTGCGTAGAAATAATAATTCTTGAGTGGCAGTGACAGCGGCTGCATATTCAGCTTCCATAGTTGAGATAGCTACAGAAGTCTGTTTAGTAGATCTCCATGATATACAGCTATTGCCTAGAAAGCAAGTGTATCCGGAGGTGCTTTTCCGAGAGTCTACATCTCCTGCCCAGTCTGCGTCACAGTATCCTACCAGAGTGGTGTTATCCCCTCCTAGCGTAAGAGAATAATTAAGTGAGTATTTTACGTATCTTAGTATACGTTTAACAGCAGTCCAATGTGTATCGTTTGGATGGTGCATAAATCTGGAAACTTGACCGATGGCAGCGCCGAGATCTGGTCGAGTAGCAACCATTGCGTACATCAAAGCTCCAACTGCTTCGCGATAAGGAGCGTCGGTAACTGGTTCCGTTGGGAGAGATGCAGTCAAATTGGTGCCAGATTCTATTGGTGTTGCAACTGGTTTGCAGTCCAACATGTAAAATCTTTTGAGAACATTTTTCAGATAGTGTTCCTTTTGACTTGTAGTGGTTGGTAAATTCTCAACCATTCTTTGTTCCACCGCAGCTTGAATGCTCGGCTCAGACGCGTCAGCAGTCTCTGATATCGCTCCTGGATATTCAACTGTGACCGTCGATTTTATGGGAGCAGCCATCATGGCTCTGTCCCTGTTCATAACGTCAACTGGACGTTCCTGAACTTCTTTCCTCGAACCTTGAGACTTCGATCTCGATTTACGGTTCGGTTTCCTATAACCGGCCAGACTCGACTTATTTAGCGATGTCTTTATAGCCTTATTTTTGCTGATGGCACGCCCTAGTAACCCCTCCTGAGTTATGCGTCCATGGCTTGTTTTAATATTGGTCCCGCGATCTGCTACAGTCATTCTTGCTGTATTTCTTGCAGTCTGTACTACTATTGGTACTTGTCGCCGACCTGATTTTGATTCCCCTCCAGTTAGCGTACTTGCACAATCTGGATTTCCTGGAGTTTCTGATGTTTTTGGACTTACCACATTATTTATCACAATAGGTACAGACGGTGTAATACCACCGCCTAGATTGTAGCTATGAGTAAATAATGGTGCCTGTCGCCGACCTGATTTTGATTCCCCTCCAGTTAGCGTACTCGCGCGATATGGAATTTCTGGAATTTCTGGTGTTTCTGGACTTACCACATTATTTATCACAATAGGTACAGACGGTGTAATACCACCGCCTAGATTGTAGCTATGAGTAAATAATGGTGCCATTGATTCTGTTTCTTTATCTGCTGCGATCTTCCAGAGATTTGCATCCGGGGCAGTCATGGCTTGTTTCCAATTCGATGGAAATGTTGAGTTAGATATATTGGCAGAAACGAGACTTGAGTTCATGTAATCAAAGTCTGGTTGCCTTTTGTAATAATAATATGGTCCCTGAGTTTTACTTTTAAGTGGTGTGTCTTCCACTTCGGAATCGGGTTGAGATAGTTCCTGAATCCGGGGACTTGAAGCGTTGATTGCTTCATTAGAAATAAATTGCGTAGACTCTGCAACGACTTTTATATTTGCCTTTGGTTTCTTGATACCGCTTAGGCTTGATTTACGTACGGAGGCGTGAATTTGTTTGTTCGGAATGAGAATTTCGCATTTGATAATGTCTAGTGTGCCGACTTTGTGTGCACGTAAGACCTCGACATTGTCCTTGGTATAGAGGACAGCTCCTTGTTTATTGAGCTTAGTCCAGCATCCGAACTCAACAGCTAGTTTTCCTGGAGAGATTAGATTGACCTCGAATCCAGGAACATATAGCACGTTATTGATAGTAATAACGCGACTGGCTTTTCCATTCCAGACTTTGAGTTGAAGCGACCCTTTGCATTCGGCATTAGTAGCCGTTTTCATCGAACCTTTGACACTGTGATTTTGCAACGGTACTGTATTAGACAGCCAGTTCTTGTTGCATACCATATGAGTGGTAGCACCCGAGTCAAGGATGATCTCGTTGACACTGTTCCTGCTGATACTGCAGTAGTCAGTTTTTGGTGAAGTTGTGGTATTGTGAAACGAGAAATCATTATTAGCGTTTAAATTAGCGCATGACGTAGATGCGTAGTTACTGTTTGATTGACTGTTATTTGAGGACCGAGCTCGACAGTCTTTTGCTAAATGAGATCCAAGTTTTCCACAATTGCGACACAATATCTTCTTCTTGCCGTTTGGCCAGTAAGATGAATTATTGGAGTTTTGAACATTCTGATTAGAATCGTTCGAGTGATCTCCGTTGGTAAAGCCCCTGAGATGTGGCTGATTATTGTAGTGAACATCCTGATTAGAATCGTTCGAGTAATTTCCTTTGTTATCAGTGCCCTTGAAATGCGACTGATTATTGTAGTATGCTCTTGGTGGCTTTCTTTGTCCGAATGAGCTGTGTAACGCGACTTCGGCGTTTTGTAGTTTTGGTATGTATAGACCGTCTGTGATCTTTACTGCGTGGCTTCCGGCTGGGCTCATAACCTGTTAAAGATTTTGATTATCGCGCAAGAAGTATAGAGATAAAAATAGAGAAAGAGACTGAGTCTTTCAATTAGTAAAGTATAAGGTAATAATATATAATCTGCCGCTGTAGAAAAGATCGGTCAGAAGAGATCTTGAATGATAATCAGGAAGTAGTCACGCAAATTAAAGTCAACAGAATAACGAGTTGAACTTAATAGATAATAACGAAGTTATGTCAGATGATATTTAGATGATTGATTCAGAGGATATTCAGAGGATATTCAGAGGATGTTTATTTAATAAGAAAGTGTCTTAGTTCTTATAGTAAAAGATTGTTTGAGGCTTGTGGCTCAAACAGGTAGTATTTGATAATAGGCTATAGTACCCGGAGATAACTTGGCCAATAGGATTGATTACAGCTGTTAGCTGTGTCGTTATAATGGGATATAGTTACATATGATTGGTAACTATGAATACAATGTTAAAGTAAGTAGGGTCGTTATAGAAACATAAGGGTCAATAATGATGGTGACGTTATGAATTAGGGGATATACAA